CTGTCACTCTGTCTCTGTGTGTTGTTCTCCTCCGCAAGCTTTCGCTCATCGCGCGAAAGTGTGTTAAACCACGCCAGGACCTGAAGACAAGGAAACGTCCCGATCGTTGATCTTATTGCTCTTTCTTTACGTAAAACGGACAAATCGAGAGCGTCAGAACCGGCTGACGTAGACGTTCCTGAATTCCATCTCGATGAGCAAACGCTGATCCCTGTACGACCAGGTGATTCCCAGAGTCTTTCACTTTTTAGAGGATCCATAGAGTTCGGCCAGCTGTCGTTGACTCATGGTTCTATCGTGATAATTGCCAGAGTACACTTTCAATTCAATTTCCTTTTCGTAATACAGTGCCCAGTCCATCGCTCGGCTGCAGATTGTAAGCGTTTATTGTACAGAGGATTATGTAACATTCGATAAGAGCGAGAACTTTAATAAAGTTCAATGAGATTTTGATTTTATTTGTCCTGGCCTGATAAACTTGTAGAGTTTACTATAAACAGAGTAACTAGGCTGAAATTGTAATAAGTGGAAGGACATTAATGCACTATATGTAGATGTTAAGAATACCTGGATCTCAAAGCAAGAATGTATTAAGTCCACTTTCTTCACTCTAAACAAATTTTTCACTCTTTCCGATGGTAAAAATTCTTTCCTTCCAAATCGTGTAGTTTTTAATATAATAGTTCCAGAATTACAAGGTTTTTGCGCCTTTAATTTGCTCTCCTCTAAAATTTGGAAATTGTCACTTAATACACTTTAACTCTGGAGTGCAGATATTATCCAGAGTTCGACAACACAGAATATTAATGAATTAGCTTACACAATTGGTATCGATCGCGGGGATTAACTTCCAACGTTTTCCTGTCAAGATCCAATCAAGGCAGAACTGTTTACGGTCACGCAACTATCAGGAAACAATCGGTAGGATAATTACGAGCTGTTACCACGCTACGAAAATTTCCTTCAAGGCACATACAAACTAGGGTAAAATTATACAAATGAAATATACAATTATACAATTGAATTTGCGTCGTTAGTGGACATTGTATGTTCGACACAGCCTGATGCTCATGCCAGACACGTGTACGTGACAATCACTAATTTAGAATCAAAGCGGGTGTAGTTTCAGATATATTCAAGAATCCAGACTCTTTTACATTCGATGCATTTAGATAAGAATAAACACCATAATCAATTCAATTGCATAGGATATTACCTTTCAAACTTTAACGACCATAATAGACGAAGTAGATTTCAAGTATATTAACTCCGTAGAAAATCAGTACTTCAAATAAATCATTAAATTCAATTGGGTTAATTATAACGACATGTAGGTGGAGCTTGATTTACACACCCTCACTAAACTAAAATTTAATAAAGCGTAACAGACACGTACTTAGAATACAATTTGAAAATTCAGATGCATTGAATTAAGTAGATTTTGAAAGAGGAAGAATATTCATAAAAAGCAAGGGACTTCCGGATGTGACAATCAGTTTAGCTGTTGGCTCATTTCAATTTCACGGTATTCAAACGAACAAAATTCAAGAGAAATATTTCACGGTAACAAAAGAAAAAACAAATACTCGTTTCCTGGATGGTGTCAAGAGCGTAACGAAGTCTTCGTGCTTTGTTTCGACCCGACTGGAAGCATTATATCTAGCTTCGACCGCGACGATCAACTGACGTAACTCCAATCTCGTCGCGCGCGGGGAATAAAAGAAGTGTCATTGATCTCGAAAGAAGCCTAGGTTGAAGCCTTGATGCATACAATCGCGACCGAGAAGACTCATCGTCGCCTTCGCACGTTCCGTTCCCGTTTCAGGACTAATCAGAATTGGAGCCTTTCCATTACGTATTTTCCACGATGCTTTTCTATTTCTTCTGTTCTGTTGTGGTCGCGACTCGTGTTATTTCCGACCGGCTGACCACGATGACACCGAATTCACCGACAGAAAGAAACTACCGGACAACACCGTGCAATTATGCTCGAGATGTGAAACGACGGAAAAGGTAAATAGTTTCGTTGTCTCTGGTCGGTTGTGGAACGGTATTTCGAAATTACTTGGCATCTCGATGGACGCAGCTCGATCGTCATCCTGGATCTAGCGACCACTTGAAACGAAATATGTACGCAGCTTTCTATTCGGTCAATATCGCTGTCCAGATTTGATACTTGACTAGCCTTGGTTATCATTCGATCCCTACACAACGTCTTTTATTCTCATAACGAAGGTGTGTGGCTGAAAGTAACGAGATTAATAGTACCAATTGGGGTAGCTTTAATTTCGAAGGCTTCCAATATTTTTCTAGGGCACAGATGACAAGAATTTTGACAGCGTTACGAAGAAAGTATTTCACGGTACACTACGTTGTAGGCGTTAGGCAAGTGGCTCGAGGATGTTTGTCCAGCGGTGAATCATGTTTGGAAGGGTAACGCAATAGAACGTTTCGGTCACGAAACCCGAACGGGCGTTTTCTATGCGGGCCGATTGAAAGCGGCCGTCCATTTTGGGACGCGTGGTCGTCCGATTGCTCTGTCGTCGAGAGAAATTACGCACACGGAGAAAGGCGAGTGAATCGCGGAATTCTGTTCGAAAAAAAGGTCAGATCCGTCGTGAATCAGTTGACGGGACCCGATCTGTGTCAAGAGTCGTTCGAGCGGCCTTTATTGTTCGACTGGAACAAATCAGTTGTACCCCAATGACAACGCGAATACAATGAAATAGACCTTCGAGACCGTAATATCAGCGGCCAGTTAACAGCGTCAATTTGCAGACGGTTTGGACGGACCTGTTCTGGATTATTGGTCAACAATGAATCGTTACAGTTTCTTGCATTTCAAAGTCGCGAGTGAAGTGAAAAATCTTCAGAAGTGTTTCGAAAGTAGGTTGCAACTGAAAAAGAAAGCGTTCGCGAATATTTTTCTCGCATCATTTTCATTGTTTTGATATGTAGAATAGATTCTACGTGAAAACGCGACGAATTAATTATCAGAGGAAGTAATTAACGGAGGAAATCTGAAGCGTACCACGTGTTCTTGAATCTCTTCCATATTGTTAACAACCTTCTGCGTGAGTGTTGCTGGTGCTCTATGGAAGAATGGCGGAGTTTTATAGTCGGAACGTGTAAAAAGATTTTCCTGGATGGCATCGAAGTTGTTTACACTGCATTCCTCGGTTTTTCGTACACATATAAATGCATGGAGGCGTGGACTATTAACATTTCTCTCTTAAGGATGAGGAAAGTAACTGGTTACAGTTTCACGGTCACGGGCACAACAAAAACCTTACGCACATACACGCTTTGCGTATTCGTACGTTACATGAACAGTGTGGAGCAAGTAAATCCACTTCGATTATTTCATCAATGTTAATCAATATGGTTATAGTATTGGAATTTTCTTGTGAGTTCGTTGAGAGCTCAAGGTCATCATTATGTGTCTTTTAGTTACTAGGCAGAATATTCGGACCCAAAGATGACATCCAAACTACTAATTCGTTATTCCAATTTACTGGAAGGTCGTTTCAATGTTATATTGCATAATGTGTATAATTTACAACATCACTAGACGTTGGATGTTTACGTGAACATAGATTTTACTGGCGCAATTTGCAAAAACCGAAATTAAACAAGAATTTATTAACTCTATTAAGGATTGTATCAGATTCCGAATAAAATAAAAATTTTAGACAACCCTGTACGTTATAAATGAACAAAAACCCGCTTTTCGATTACGACATGAAAAAAAAATAACGAGTATCTTAAAGTATTGCGAAAATAAAAAATTCCTGTGTCACTCGGCATTTTAATAGTGGTCGACGGAGACCAATAAGATGACCGCTTTCGCGAACTGTAAGTCTCTATCGATGTGTCACGCGGTGAACGCTCGACTGACCAAAACTCGGGGAAACTTTATTTGCGAGATTCGTACGTACAGTCCCGCAATTTTTCGGGTGAATTTGCATGAAACGCGTGCGATGCGTGCATATAATATTAGCGGCGCGACGGAGTCGCTTTCACTGGCTCTAAAATAACGGCTGCACACGCTTGGAGACATGTTCGTTAACTGTCCGTGAAATTCGTACCTGCACTGAGTTTTCATTTTGATTTATACATTATTTTTACCGTAGATTTATGAATTCAGAGTTTCGCGTTAATCTCGGAGAAATGGAGTAACAAAGGCTTCATCGTGATCGTTACACCTTTCTATAATTAAATAATGTAATTTAACTTTGTTCGTACATAACAGTTTAGACAGACTGAAATGCGTTAGAAAGTTAATTGTTCAGATTAGACTGCGATAAGTGTAACAAAATTAATTTGATAAGGAACATGTATCTGCAAAGTTGTACCCTCGTTTGTGAAAAATATACTCCTTTGATTTTTCGTTATGCATTAAGAGAATACTTTTGTCCTTTTTTTAAACAAAGTTGGTGCTGGTTAACCTGTTCTGGATTAATGTAACAGAATGCACGAAAATACGTAGACAGTCTATCGGGGTGAACGTGTCAACAAAACCTGTTACAATTACAATTACGCATTAACGCGTAATTTGTATTCTACCGAATAAATTACTCTTATTACTGTTTTTAGCGTTTAATTCAAGATCGTTCAGAGCCTCGTTTCGTCTGAAAATTTCCTTGGGCTACACCCGGCTAGATCAAGTGAAAACGGACTTCAGTGGTCAGACACCGGTTAAGAAACACGTTTAAAATTTAAGACGACGCCGGCGGTGACCTCACTGTCCGATTACATGATTAAATAATTGTCCCCGATTCGTTAACGGTTCATACAACGGAATGTGTGCGTACTGTACGCAGAGAGAATTGGCAAGAATCGTGTTGCGGATCTTGAAAGTAAGTCAGGTAAACACTTGAGCCGTTCTTCCGATCAAAGTTTCGGATTGAAATTTGCTTTTGCCCCTTATAATCTGTAGACCTATTTTGTCTCAGATAACAAATTTTTAACCAGGTAAATAAATAATGTAATCAACGTACCGTAGAGGCTGATCCATCCGAGTATCCAAGAACACAAAACAAGTTTGCCAATCATTTCACGGTTCGTGGATCAGCCGGCAAGACGAATCTCTTTTTTCAAACATCCATCGTCCGCGCGCCAATTCGAAAATCCAAAGAGCACGTGTTCGCCCAGTATCGCGTCTAGAAACTCGGAAACACGCAGAAGTCAGCGTGCCTTCATTCTTCGCCCGTCTTCGCTGATAAACGATGAACGAAATCAAACAAAACAGGGTATCCAAGGAGACGGCTCGAAATCGATCGAAACTAAAAATGACGGTCGATCGGGGCTTCCGTGACACGCTGGGTCGAAGCAATCCAATTCGACGTTTGTCTGTCGATTTCTCCTCGCTTCTCAATGCACGCGATTCTCTCCCGTTTTTCAGAATTCAATCCTTGGGTCACCGGTCATTCTCCATTGTCGTGACATTAAATTTCACTTTAGATGAATTTTCCTTTTTTGAAGCGCGACTGTCACCGTTTAAACAGTCGTCATCGAGACATCGAAAGAGAGAGAAAGGACTGTTTAATTCAAATATCGAAAATGAGGCCGAATTCAAGGAGTCGTGATTGTCAAACAGACGGTTTTTTCAGCTGGCTGGGCACTTCAACTTCTGCTTTCTCCTTCTAAAGGCTCGAGGCAGTTAGAACGCTCGGGCGATCGAGGATCATCGAGCAAATCGCGCAAAGAGGAGCCTATGCGTCCAAGGATCGTTCACACGATTTGCGAAACTCGTCGCGAGGTTCATCGATCGCAGTGATTCGGCCACTTTCGCGAAACGATCACATCATTGTTCAGCGGACGTCGTTGTTTTACAAAAACGACGTGGTTCCATTTCGACGATCACGCGTTTAAATTGCTGATCACAAAGACGCTACCGATCCGACGAGAAACGACGAGTCGATCGATCGATTGACGCAGAATGCGACCAAACGTTTCTCTTCGATCGAAGACAGGATCCTCCGAGTGGTCCACCGATCGTTTCACGCGATTCTTCGTGAATTTTGTGTTTTCATTGTCCAGGTGGATCGCTTTCGAGGCGATCTCGAGGCTTGGTTTTCACGGAGCCGCGCACTCCGGCAAAACGAGAGGCCTGGTGCGCCAGCAGAAACTAAGAGAGAGTTAGGCACCGAGCCGCCGTGCTACACCTGCAGGAACACCAGAGCTGCTACCTCGTGGCCTACTATAACAGAACTGACTCCCACCTTGGTACTGCCGCGTCTCATACCTGCCACAAGCGAACGGTGTTTACGCGACGTGTCCCCCAACGACAATTATTCCCACCAACGCGAACTCTTTTAAACATCGTCCACGTCAATTTTGATTTTTCTACCAATAAAACGATGATCCTTCACATGGGTATTTATCACGCTAGGTTTCCTTAATACTGGATTTACCCAAGAGTTGACGGACTTTCCCATAATTGTGCTCCCCGATTACTTGAATGATCCTTTTAATTTCTCCTGCAGTGAAACGTAACAACAAATTTTCGAAGAAACTTCCCTTTACTTTTCTTAATGAACCTAGATAAATGAACTTCTTTGTCATGCAATAGACCATTATTATATGATTTCTTTTAAAATTTTACGTATTAAAGTACCCAGAACTATGTATTATCTTTCTAACTTGCAGATAAAACATATGTAAAGTACTAATGATCGAGCAGACGCTGCAGTACAGACGAGCAATGTAACTTTGACACCAGAAACCTTTAACACTTTTTGCGTAATAATGTAGCAAAAACTCTGAAGCTCTGTCAAAATGTCTCTATTGTTTTTCTTTTATGCAAATAAAGATACAACGCTTGCGACCATTCACGTTTAAGTACTTAGAATTAATTCTGAACACGTATTCGCAAGTTACTATTTGTCATACAAGACGCTTCAAAGAAGGTGTCCCAGTGCACAGGAAATTCACCCTACAGAAAATTAACTGAAACTCTGTATACAGAATGTGCAATTCCAAAATATCTCACAGTGAAAAGTATTATTTCAGATTCCTTATTCAGGGTTTGTAGAGGAATTATTTTCTTGATAATTGAACCGATTATTTTGGAAGGTCCTGTATATTGTTGCTCAACGAAGAGGTCGCGAAATTTTCCGAAGTTGTTGCAACAGGGGAGTTTCACCACCATCGAAAGCATCCGCACAATTACAGGCGAACATCTCATTACCAAATATTATATCACTATACCGACACCAAAAATGGACTCGTGGCTGCCCCTCCTAGCGTTAGAAAGGTCTGCGGCTCGCTTTCGCGAACAATCGACGAATGAATTGATTAATGCAATCAAGGAAGTTATCTTACCCCCTACAACTACCTACTGTTACTTCATGCTATTATGCGTTTGAATGATTCTTAATACTATTTTGTTTTTAACGACACGTGCAATACTACACCTCTGAGAGCAACAGCTAATCAGCGTTCAGTTGCGAAAGTAACACCTGCGTGATAATTGGAGTTGTAATACGAGCCATCGAAATTTGAATAGGTAAAATGAAACTTTATAATCGGAGAGCACGATTGATTATTGTTTAATAGTTATCTTTACTACAAACAAGGGTGTAATAGGGTGTTGATAACAGTTTGACGTATTAATGGCTCGTACCGCGAAGGCAGAAAGACACGGATACAGTAACTAGAGGAAGGTCATCGTGAAGATCCATAGTGTTTATAAAAAAAAAAAAAGAAAGGAAAAAAAACCTAAATAATTGGTGGAATCATCTTACATCTGCCGATGCGCGTTCTCTCCCTCGGTGGATTGCTCCGGGACGTAATTTTTTGATTGACAGGTTCGACCTCTTCTATCACGCAACGTGCGCGGTGAAAACGTGCGTTTATGTTAATAGTAAACGCCACACGAGACATATATTCGACGCAAATAAAAGTATAATCGTTTACTTTCACTTTTCCATCAATAATTGCGACACGTGAGTGATGCTCATAACTGGTAGCTTTTACTTGGTATCTCTATGGAGCATAATTAATTCTATTGTTAGCTTTATATAAAAGGAATTCCACTATATTACCAAAAATTATTTGATTACATTTTTATTAGGCTATAGTTAATCTTACAATATGTAAGGTTCTAACGATTTGTTATGTATCTTATGTTGTTAACATCATTTGTTATGTTAACCTTTTTTTAAAGAAAAGTTCATATAAAAACCTGTTTTACAAATTAAATATAAATGACTATAAAATCCTGATAAACATGATTAATTTTTCACTGTATAATACTCTGTTTCATCAAAATCAATATTGATTTCATCTTCTATTTTTACTTTAGACACTGTTGTACGAGCTGCTATCCTAAGTTGACGATCCATTGGAGAAAGAGTATTAATATCAAGAGGAAGTGTGATTATTTGCCTTGGTACAGGGTAATTTATAATGATGCTACTGCCACATGGAAGTACAAGGCGTGTAGGAAATTCTCGTAGATAGATTTTTCTGTGTTTCTTCGTTATTGCCGTCGTCCAACAGTTAAAACTTCTGTGAATGGTTTGTGCAGTTTGTGTTATTCGCAAGAGCGGAGACACGTTCATTCTGCAATGTGAATAATTCAAATTATTAGGAGAACACGCAAATTCTTTTCTGCATTAACAATTAAGAAGTTATTCGAAATTTTGGTGAAACTTAAAGTCTTAATAGAAATAGATCATGACAACATTCGAATATTTACATGAGCAGGTTATGTTTCAAATACTATATATCGAAGCTCAGATATGTGATTCAGACACACCTGGAATGTAACTCATTCACACTTCTTTTTTCGAGAATTATTTAACTGGAATGTCTCATTGTCTTTTAAAAACTTTTATATAATTAGATTCTGAAACACAGTACTTACGTTTCGTCCGAACGACACTGATCAACATGATAACCTTATGCAATAACACGTACTGCGCATGCTACAAAGAGTCACGTGACTAAAGAATGGTCAAACGATTTATCGAATCGAATTCCATTTCGATAATTTCGATAACCGTTTCAAGTACAAAAGTCCTGGCGGTTTCAACAGTCCATTCGTGTTGCAGACAATTGTGCGTGTGAAGTGCGTGATTTGTAATGAAAAGAAATCAAAGTATTCGATTCTGTGTTGTTTCTTATCAAGCTTCTTCCACATTTGCTTGGCTGGCGTTGGAATTTTCATCGGTGGATGCATCAATTCGTTCGGTAAGAATATATTTTCATCTTACGTATTCAAGTCCAGCATCAATGCATTGATGGCGGTATGTCAGCGTTCTTGTGTTTGAATGATAGATAGATGGATCGTTCTTTATTAGAATAAATATATGAAAATAAAGTAATCAGTCAGACAAAACGGCAGAAATTCAAACAAATGCACTGTTTGGTGCATCTTCTTGCGATTCTTCGTAACTGCTACCAGGTATTTCATCGTATTCTTTACGATCCCTGTGGAATGGAATTCTCAGTAATCTGAGTGCAGATAGTACTTTTTTCTAAATTATACCTGAGTTCACAAGTTTGGATCGATCAGAAAAAGAGTACACGAGACGCGTGTATATAGGTATCAAGAATCTTTAGGCTACTAGCTGTTTTAAACGCGGAGTCAGGAAGCGTCACCTTTCTTTCCAGGTACTGTTCAGGCGGTTTACAATCTGATACGACCTAACTGTGGATAATGATGCAATTTTTGTAAGATACATGATACACAAAAAAATTACTCCGACGTATCTTGTTCAACTGTACTTTATATAATTGCTACACACTTAGTAAATATGACAAATGCCTAAGCACATATGAAACGGACGAAATAGGAGACAATTTCTTCTTAACCGCGGCTGCAGAAATGATTTCTGTTCGGCCAAAACTTTCGAACTCTGGTACAGTAATATGGCAACATAGACGTTATGATCAGTTTGAATCAGAAATATTTTTCTATCATGAGATACGAAACTGTTTGTGACGAATTTATTCAATCTAATAAATTAGTTTAGTTAGTATTGTTAGTAAAAAATAATAAATACACATGTTCATCCATATACACGCATTCATTCTACAGATTCAATCATGCATGCAATTAACTTACTCCACTTTATCACATCATATTTCTATAAACAATAATGTTATTGTATTATTGAGATATGATCACTTCAGTGGAAAGTTTGATATCCGAACATTCACATTGAATTTTATTACGTAGCTGATAATCTTTCTTTTATCACCCATGACAAATTAATTACAATGATTATAAGACTTAATAAAAATCTGTGGAGTAATAAGGGAGTCCTTACGCGACGTCTAAGAATTTATTGTGAAAACTGGATGCATCAATTTCACTAACAAAATTCACTTCTTCTTCAATGACAAGTTCATATAATGAAACAGAATTGTTGTATATCTTAAATACTAGTATTTGTTGTAATTGAATAATATTCTATTCAGATTAATAATTCTGAATCATTATACATTCAATGACTTGTCATAAAATACATGCAGTTGACTTTTATACGTGCTGCATGCAGCATTAATTTTTAAACATTAATCTAAACCAATTCAATAACTTAATTAACTTAAAATATTTAACGATTCTTCTTATAAAAACTATGATAATGTGTAATAATGAAATGATAAAATGTTTTGCACAAAAACATGCAGACACGTTTTATTATAACAACAGCATCAGTATAAATGTATTAATATTGAATCTTGAACAATTATAAGGTGTTCAAAATTTTGGAATGTTTATCATTAATTATAACAAAAAATCAAAAGTAATAAGTTTAAACGGTGAACTATACAATGATTAACCCCGTGCGCTACAATACAGCCACCCGGTGCATAATGTTACATGTTGCAACAGTACACTTCTAATCTTCGGTATATTTTGCTCTTTAACATCACAGACACTAAGTATACTTTTTGTTCGCAAGTACATAATTTGGCATTGCAGCACTTGTCAATATATATTAAAATACAGTCATTTGAATCTTAAATAGGTGTAGGTACATCTATTAATCCAAGCACTTTCTCTTTTCCTTTATTTGTTTGTAAGTAACAACCACCAGAGATTCAAACTAGACATTAAAAAATGGTAAAAACACTCTATAGCAGGTTGTACATATCAAGACTTAGAAAGGAATGTAAACTTCATACTGTAGTAATAATACATTTCCTTTAAGATATTTAAAATACTGAATACTGGATTTTCATTCCCACTGAAATGAAATTTAACAAAATTTTGTCTACTATACTTATAGTTTTTGTTTTATAAGTAGCAACAGTTATCTTTCTTTAATGTTCCGCTTTCGTCGTTATATGAATTTTCTTGTTTATGAAGTGTTTCGTCACTTGTTGCATTCTCGGTATCTAGTCTGCAAGAATTTATGATTTTGCAGGTCATGTGCGGTGCGAAATAAAGAAAGGGGAAATGTGATATAAAGGTGGTTTTGAAGCAAACTCGACGTAAAATACTTATACTCTACCATTTAGATCAATTACGTTATCACAGACGAATTTAAAGAATTAACATTCTTTTACCTCGTATGTACACTTATCTATAGTACAATTGAATTGCATAAGGTTGAAGCAGAAAATAAGTAGTTGTCAAGTCTTTAATCGGTCACTAGATGTAAGGAAGGAATTAGTAAGAGGTTTTCTACTCCAACTCGTTATTAATTAATTGAACATAAATTAACTACAGATGTTGTTTAAGTTTCATATGTAAAAGTTGTTCGAATGTATAAATAATTGACTAAAACATGCAACATGCATTTTTGGCATTTTTTAGTATTAAAATCTGTGAAAAAGGTTGGTTCTATAATACTACAAAATTTATACGCCCCATTAATGCATGCATTGTTAGTTGAAAAATGGTGGATGATAAACAGAGAAGTAAAAAACATACGTACCGATATAGAACGTAATGCTGAATAATGAAAAATACATCGAATGCAACTGAGAAGAATCCTAGACCAAATTTCGTTGGGTCTCCAAAAATACTTTCCCAATCATCTAACAAGAAAACCATCTATTAATGATTGAACTATAACCGAAGTATTATTTGATAATTACGAATCTATTTTCTATACTTTACCATAATTATAAGCATTCAATATCATTTGCAGCATTGATAAAATACCGCCGGTAAAATCTAAAAATATATTGCCGATACTCCAACCAACAGTGGATTTCCGTTTGTAATTGTAAAATGCTTGTGGAACGTATTTGATTAACGTTATACATAATTTGACGTAACTACAATAATACAGGAAATCTAGCCACGCCAGTGTATTTACAGCGGCTAGTATTATAGAAATTAATATAAAGACTGCAAATATACAATGAATAATACGTGCAGTCGTGGATACTCTTTGTGTGCCCCTCTAAAAAGTTCATATTTTTATTAATACTTTTCTTTTCACTATTAAGATGATTTAAATAACGAATCGCGTTCAATTAAAACTAATTCCGATTATTTACCTCATACATGAAGCACTGAAAAATAGTTATCACAGTGGCGAATACTGCATGCAATGAAAAAAATATATCATTCACTTGTACAGGATTTAAACCTTTTGGATATCGCCTAAAATATTCAAGCTGAAAAATGTAGTTATGTGTTACATATTTGAAAAAATACTCGACGAATTTATATGGAGATGAAGAAATATTTTACATACCTCGATATCTGGAATCCAAAATAGGCCACAATTAAACAAGGCGTACATAATAAAACCGACCAGATTCAAGGATAAATAATCGAAATTTAAACCTACGACACTTTTGCGTTTGTAATTGCTGTATATTTGGGGATAGAAACTGATGCTCCATGCTAAAAAGTATATCCATCCCACTACAGTACTTAGATGATAAAGAGCATCTGATTTCTCTATAGTAATTCTGACAAATGCTTGCGAAACACTGTAAAAACATAAAAAAAAAGACAAGCGATTTAGGAACGTACATTTGAATATCATAAATATTAAAGTGAAACGCTTGCGAAGGTTTTAATTGTACTCTTACTTTAAATCAACTGTGTTTAGTTTGTCTTGAGGAATCAGAATCACTTTGAAAATTGTCATTATTGATTTGTATCAATTGCTTTGTTAAAATTTCGATTATTTTGAAGATTCACACTGTTTATTGAAACACAGAGTATAACTTTTGCAACAACTACACTAAATCACGTTTAGTCGAAAATTTATAACTTAAACTAATTACTATGAACACATTTGTTACTCGTGACAAATACAACACATCCTAGTTGGAGCAGGAAGTAGCCTGCTCAAAATCCGAGCAGAGACTGACTGAAGTTTAAGTTTAAGATCCAATGAGAGGTACAGGTCAGAAGGCTATCTCTGCAAATAACTGCCACTGGAGACTAGTGAATGTAACATTGATCAAAATCTTTTGGAACTTAGTCATAAAAGTAAATATTGATATTGTACCCAGTCATTGCTCAACTGTATTTAATATCAAGGAGGGGAGAAAGGGAGGGACAGGGGGAATTAATGTGATTAATTTTTTTGGGCCTCTATCTCTGTTTGTTTTACCTCCTATGAATGCAGATATTATAATCTTTATTTAAAGCTCCACTGAAACTGCTTACTTATGTTTTTTAATTTTAAAAGTGGTAGGAACTGTCTTTCTTAATTTATTATATTTATATACTTACTCTGTAACATTGGCAGGTGTAACATTAGCACTAACAATGGAATGCCCAGCATTAAGACCCTTTACATTAATTTTCCATGTGTTGCCTGCTTCATTTTGACTAAAATTTATTTTAGGAGGGTGAACAGCGATCAAATCTGGATGTTGTATGTCTAATGTTACCGATATATTTTCTGCTATACTTCCTCTAAAAAAAAATACATCAATACTGGTATCATTTATCGTGTTTATCAATTATAATGATATTGTATAGAAAGGGGGTTCATCTTAATTAACTCTGGTTGAAAGATAATGCCTTAAATAGTAGAATTTTATTGCATTACCATTATACAATGATATCACATGCTATTGCACTATAACAAAAATTTTCCTAAACATATAGCTGCAAGATAAATAAATAGAACAAAACATGCACATGATGTAATATCTCAGTGCCTTGTTCAATAAATACATTCTACTAATATTACCATACTTACGTCAGATACAATAGATATGATGTATTACTATTCACATGAACTTTTATATCATGTTCAGACACTTTGAGGTCTGCCCATGTTTGTCCCACAGCTGAAAGATTGATTATTCTTTAATACAGGGCTCGGGATTTTATAAAACTTTCTTTGTAAATTGAATAAAATCTATCAGCTTACCTAAGATTGTGAAAATTCCAATATACTGTAAGTAGGCCATTGTTGCTGGCTTCTGAAATAAACCAAAAACAACTTAGTCATTTTCCTAACTCTAGATTCTGCATTAATATTTGCTATTTAATCTATAACGTAAGTCACATTGACAGGCCATAACTGTCCTATACAAAGCTTTCTTTCTAGGCTTGTTACTATTCAGTACTCGAACGTACGGACTATCTACTGGGTATGTGAGCCTTCCAATTCAAGTAATCACAGTTGAAACGTGCACAATTTGCACAGGTGAAGAGTCTTTCAACTTCTGAAGGCGTTGACCGCGTAACACGCGGACTAAACAGGGAAGACGTACAGAGTGCCGGGCACTTTGCTGGATGCATGTCATTGATACCGGCGGAGTATCTATGTATGTATACCTGCATAGACAAGAAGACATAGAATCGGTGGTACCTGTCAATGGTTTGTTGTCCGCGTAGATCAATAACAGAATCGTGGAAACGACATATTTTCGATCAGACACTAGCCGACGTTGTTTCGACGAGAATCAACAAGCGCGTCCACATGATGTTACATACTGACAATAAGAACAGAGGCGGTTTTTGTCGAAAGACAGAACGTATCAGTCGAACTTAACCTCGGAAGCACGACGACCTCGATGAAACATGCCTCGGGGCGTTATAGGTGATAAGCTCGCGCGTTCCTGCAGTTTCGAGCATTTTGCGCGATTTTCGGCCGATTTATCCTTTCGCTCGCGAGGCCTGGTAGGTATAACCGAATATCCACCTCGCACATGCCCCAGCTGAAAAATCAATCGAGCCTTTGGAGAAACGTAAATAAAAGTCCGTGGGTACCACGCGTTCTGTCTGTTTATGCGCGTGCAACTGAACTGTCGGCACGAAAGATACGCCTCTCGAATCAGGGATGTAACGACGCCTGCTTGCCCCTGGAGTTTTCAGTTTCTATTCCTGTTCCCATGAAATTCCGATTTTAGGGAATACTGTATCATATCAGGTCTTTTTTTTTTTAATTTATACATGTTTTCGATTTCTTTTCAATTTTATAGAAAGTATGAACAATGTGCTAGGGATGGGGGTAAGAAACACCTTTCTCATAATCTATTTTCTTTCAATACTTATAAATTCATAGGCGCTCGAAGACGACTTTGTTTGAAGAGACTGTTTTCGAACTGATTCATGACAATTAGCCTGTAGTGTTGTTCAAGAATCGTTGAAATAGTCTGACATAAATTTCTTGCAAAATTATTCCGGTGAAAGGATGAAAAAAGATTTCTAAAACTTGTACTGAGATATTTGCATGCAAATTGCCGGGCGACACGGCGCCATTCAATGTCATATTCATTATATTCCTTCTCTGCCTAATAATTTTCGTAATGGTCGTGGTAAACTCGTAACATTCACTTTTTGAGATGAATTACGTGGCTCCTGAAGGATATTCATCACATTATTTCTTTTCGAAAACGTTTAAATCCTCTTTCCACCGAGTCCAAATTACTCGTAGCGATTTAGTGTTTCGAGAATGCAAATACATTCTATGTGAGGTATGTAGTGTATGTACCGACGAAACCGGGGATTTTCCTTCAAATTTTCCGTGGCTTTATCTCACGATTACTCATTGTCAATCCCGCTGACCCGTACCATGGAAAAATCGCGCCCATTCACGGCGACGACTTTTTTCCGCTCGTTGTTCCTGCTTCCCTGCGAATGATTATTCATTTGCACTCGTTTGCTGTTATTTTGACTCAGTGCAATGATGATGCAACAACGAGGAACAATGCAACACGCCAACGAACGTAATTAATTGCATTGGAGGCGATTGAATGTTACTTCTCACCCCCATATCTGGAATGCAGAGTGCGTCGATCCTTTGCGGTGCATAGAAGGAATCTAAAATACGAGTTGGTTACATTAACTTCTCGATTATTCCTTTAATTTTTCGCCAAGGTATTTGTATTCTCGTGAATCTGAATGTAAAGTCTCGTTTCGAAATTCTTCACGGTCTGTCGCGACTTATAGCCTGACGATCCATCCTATTACACGTAATTATAGTAGTGCACATTTACGGCGGAGCGATTACCGGGCTCCTCGGATCGAAGTTCGATTACCTGGCCTGGTAAAGAGCTGATCGTTGTTAATGAAATTGCGGCGAGTAAAGTGGCGTGGAGAGTGCAGCTGTATTATCAGGGCGCAATGGAACCACCAAAGGGACTTAAATTTCCATGATAATGTTATGTTAATACTTCACATTCGGTAACTCGGAATATTCTCGTCGGGCAAGTAGCTCTTCGGAGCGCACGACATTCGCGGAACAGGGATGACGGGGGTGGGAGGGGTTGCGGGAGGATGGGGCGGCGTACCGATGCTATATACATTTCGAGATAGAATAAATCCAAAGAGAGATCGACGTTCGAGTGCACTCTACGTCCCAAAGGGGCCTTCGCGAAGCTTACACGGAAACAGCTCTGAAAGTCGATCGGCAGCTTGCTGCCGCTTTTGTTGACGTATACAGGCTTCTTCACCGCCAATATTTTCCTTTGCGTCATACCCGAGTCCGAGTCTAGCGGACCTAATCCTCCAAGATAGCCCTTACCCGCCTCTCCCATCCCCTCCAACCCCCTTTTTCCTCTTTCTTTCCTTTCTATCACTTTCAATTCGCCCTCGATATGGATAAACAAGATCGCTCCCGATCGGACGTTCGCCAATATACTTTGAAATTATTCGGTCGAATCATTTCACCGGAATACTCGAGGAAACATATCTCTCTTCCCAGACCTTCCTTCGGATTTGGGAATTCACGAAGCTCAACGGTCTAAGTCTAAGTATACGACGCCGGAAATTTCCAGAATGTTTGAAAACGTTTCGCTCGACAGGAACGTTCCTCTGTCCCGGTCGGTTCGAAACGGTTTATCGTATCATTTAGCTTCGGACCGTTTATGGAGACGTCCTGTGTCCCGACAGATTTGAAAATTCAACAGCTTTCAGCCGGCTGAAACAGCGGAGTCACGATAATCCGAGGTCCGAAACAAACTCTGTATTAGCGGGGAACATGGATTAATCGTGAACGAGAGCGATCTTATCGGTGCCGTTTTTCATTGACCCGGGCCGAGTTCCATCATTTCGAGAATAAACACGATTCCGTGGATGCCTTGCGTGATGTCCCCGGCGGCGACGAGACCGTGTCAACATGACTAATTTTTATGGACGAGTGTTCGTTAATAACGTAAACAGTCTTATTTGGATCATGACCTCCGGATCGAGCAAATCTCAGTTTCGAATTAATTAAGATTCGGAGTTCTTCAGTCTAAATCGAGTCCACGTTCGCTTGTTTTCTTTTCAAGTTTGATACAACTTTCCTATCGATGAGTAAAAGCTGTCGTATTGAAATCCCGGTTATTTTCTTTTCCAATCAGTTCCCGATCGAATCGACCCGATCGAGCCACCTTTCCATTCAATTCCCCGTGATAATTTTTGCAACACGGTTTTTTTTCGCTTTGTAACACCATTATCTGTATATCCTTTTTCTATCTATCGCTGAGAACATAAGCTGTGTGTTCCTTGATAAACTACATACACTTTAGTGGGTCAACTGTCGGTGAAGTTCCATCGAGATTGCGGAAACTGCCTGTTATATTGAAAAGAAGCGGGGGACCAGATAATGGACGAATGATATCGGAGCGTTGAACGCGCGAGACAGAGACAACGAAGGCTCGGTCCAATTATCGATCGAGTAAAAGACTTTTAATTTATTAACGCAAAGCGATACGGGGTCGGGGAATGACGATCATGCCTGTAAATATGTCTCGAGGAATTTCTTCTTTCCTTTACATATAAATAACCTATTATTTACACAGCAACACCATACCAGAGAATTGGGAGATATACGTATCTACATATGTATACAGAATGTTATGTTATATAGCAAAGTCGAAGAAGAGAGGATAAATCGAGTTAAAACACATAATTTCCTCGACCCGTGATAGATTCGAGCTTTGACCAATTTTCTCACTTATCACCGAAGAATCGGTATTATTGATAATTTTCCACGGTCAGTGATTCGTGTGTCTAGCGATTGTATACGTCTACACAATGTATCATAAAGTCTGGTCCTCTTCACGGAAGTATGTTGTTGTCCGGAAGCAATGGCAGATGTTTTGCAAAAACATTTGTCTTACCTCGTTTTGGAGGCACAGGTGTTTTAATAGTCGTTTGAATCGCGAAGCGAGTCTCCAGGCTTATCATTCGGTCGTATAACATCATGAAAGCGTCTTACAAATAGCGAGATCATGTACGAGATACGTGGTTTTCACTGTAAATAGTATTGTAACACACTATTCTATGAACGCCTGCAACGTAGCAAGAAGGTTAGATATAACGAATCCTTGTGCAAATTAATTGTTAAAATAAAGAGTGATTCAGGAGGCGAGATTAATTCTTCGGGACGGGATAACAGCAGTGGTTTGCAGGAAAAGAGTTAATATTGTTTGAATTTACAACGAGCTACCGTACATACTATAGCGAAGAGAAGGAATTCTTGTCATTTTCAATACTGTTCTCTGCATACGATAAAAACCAGTCTATTTATATACAAGAAACACGCCACATGTATTATTTACCCTTGATGATTTACGAAAGTGAAACAGATAAATGTATCCGTGTAACAATTTCGTCAGAATTTAACGTTGAACTTTTCATCCTACAATTATATTATCACCTTTGGAATTATTGCTGTTTTATCGTGAAGCAGCTTACGCGTTACTTCAGGCGACTATGAGGCGTTTTCAAAGTCTTATCGAAGTATTAGTATTGTACACCTTAAACCTAAAAAAAGAAGCTCTTTGAAAGTGCGAGATATAGCCTTGTTTCCGAGATAAAGAGACTTTAAGTTAACATGAACACACTGTCCCCAAGATGAAACATTCTTAGACTTATGTTTATTTGGTTTTACTTCAGAATTACTTTACTTCTAAAATTATTCGTCAAAGCATTCGAAACACTCTCTATAGTTTCCCGAATCATTCAAAAGCCGTAATTCGTCGGAAAGTATTATGAATTTGAAATCTATCTATTCGTACCGAAATGATCGGATGAGGCAACGTACAGACTTTATGAAACACTGTGAATAGACCAGACTGCATCGGGTCTGTCAAAGTCGTCGGATCTCTTTATCGAACCGGTATCGAATATTTTTCGCGTGGCGTACACGGCCACGTTATCTTCCGGCCAGTTGCATTATCCCTTTCATCCGGGAAACAATTTCGCGAACAATTTTGCGTGGGCAGTATTAAAGGCCAGTCCGGCAGGTAATAACGGTTAGCATAAATTAAAGGCTAACTTTACTGGCAGGATCGTTGGACAACGTAATGCCCGTTCCATGCTAATTTCTTATCGCGGGCAATTACTTAATCGCACGCAGTCGAACACACACATTCGGCCGCGTTCCCGGCTGATACGACTGCGAAGAAGTATTCGTAGGATCGGCTTTAGACCGTGGAACCGTCTGGGAAACTTAGTTTCTTTGTTTTTGTCAAATAAAAAGCTGACACTGCGACGTGGAAATTTTAAAACATTTTCTTTTTGCGCCGAAGAGACGACACAGGTGGGTGTATCGTGTGCAAAAAAAAAAACGTTGAATGTTCATTGCGCAAGTGGTTCTCAATTGTCTGAATGATTTCCGTTGTAGAAAATGTTGGTGCATATAGTCAAGACGTAATTGCATTGAGACGAAGTTGTAATAATAATAATAATTTAGAATAGGCTTTCGATGCTTTTATCGATGCAAAACGGCATCAAGCTTTATTTCGTATTCTTTAACTGGCGTTCACCTGTCTGTATAATATTTCATCGAAAAAACGATCTCTAGTTCCAACGCTTTCTTCTCGATAATATCCTTCTTGCATCGATTCTGTGTTTTTCGCGTTAGATTCTCCTGTCCTCCGATATATTCCATGGCTTTTCAACTTCGCCGTTTCTTTGTATCGATCGGCCGATCTCCAATGTAAATTCACGAGCTTCGTTGCACCAGTCTCACCTATTTCGCGAACCCGATCCTTATAGAATATTAATTCAACGCTGCGTATCCCGTGGCTGCAGAGACACGTTCTCTTGGACGTTCTGATAACGTCCCCGGACTCGACCCGTGCAATCGTGAAGTATTAACGTTCGTCGAATTTAATTCCATTATTTTATTCCATCTGTCCACGTATTTTCTCTGCTCTTCGATTTACATTTAAATCAATTTCAAATAAATTTCCAGAGATACTCTTTCAATTTCTGGATAGTTGTGGAGAAACGAAGAAGGACCATTATTTAAATTTTTTCTGCGGGATATCGAATAACTGATGCGTCGTTATCGATTCACCGAACCAAGTTCCGTTTCAACTTGCTAGAATAATTCTATTGTATTCCTTATGGTGACCATCGCTTAGTATAATTAAGTTTCCGAAGAAAATTCACAGATTCCGTATTCAGAGGACGACCGCGATCAGGTCGTGAAGGATCGGGGGACGGATCGTTCGATCGCGTAACTCGTTCACGTGAGCCGAAACTTGTGTCTGTAATGTCCGTCGATCGGTTCGATTCGCCACGTCGCCCCGTATCCACGGGAAACTTCTTTTCCCGAAGTGTTTCAGCCGTTCCGGCCGATTTCCAATGTAAATTTACAAGCTCGTGGCGGCAGTTTGGCTCGGTCTGCGGATTCGGCCCCTATCGAATATTAATGCGCGGGAGCGCGGGCTGCGTTTGACCCGTTCCTGAGACCCGATTTTACGAGACTGCTCGGCGCAGCACACCGTCGAAAACAACAAGAAAGAACAAAACAGTGAGGGGTGACTCGTGTCGGCGGCCCAGTTTTCAAGAGAACCCACCACCACCACCCACGAGCAGCAGGATTCGTGGAGAAACTTTCTTTCTATTCGTCTCGCCTCCCCTAACCCGATTTTCTTGGCCGACCGAACCGAGCTGCAACCACCCCCGTACGTCTGCCCTAAAAATAACCGCACCACGGGAAGAAAATACGTTTTTGAAACTGTTGGCGCTGACAGTGTTCCCATTCGACAACTTAATTACTGCTCAAAGAAAGTTTTCGACTCTGGGTGAAATATTGGTATTCGTTGAACGAGATCCGAATTTTTCTGCCCCGAGATTTATGCCCCATTTCCCAGATTAAAATGTTACTGAAAATACCATCGCAGGGTTCTAGACGTAATAATTGTTTAGTGTTACCTAGAAATTGAAACGACACTTTAAACAAACAGAGAAACTCTTTTTCTTCAAATTCCTCGTCAGTATTCTAACCATTGCAAATTTCCCTGCGTTCACGATTCCATCTCTTTTTCTAACATTATTTCGACGATCGAGAAAAACGAACCTCGTAGAGACTCGTCGATGAATTTTAATAACTGCCTCCTCGCGGTAATATACCGAGGAATACTCTCCTCCGCCGTTTCTAACTGGAAAAATTGGAAAACTCAATATGGAGATGGTTCGATCAGCCGCCGGGCGATTCTATCGCTTAAATGCCTTGGGCGTTCATACGGTTAAACAAACAACATAAAAAAGCTTTCCTCGTTATTAACAATTGGAGGAGTCGATAGGTCGGCCGATC